GTTTTACAGAAATTGTAAGCAGTATGGTATTTCAAAATGGTTCTTGTTTTACTCATAGTCATAAAGCTAACAAATAACCTATTTTATATATTTACTATTCTTTGTTAAAATTTAATAAATGATCATAAAAAGTTACTATGTTATAAATTAAAATACTTATTTTTCTATTTTATTATCTACCTCAAAACTCAATAAATTATCATAAAAAATTACTAATACTATATAATAAGATAAAATACTTATTTTTCTAAAGTAAATAGCCATAGCCTAGGCCTACGATTTAATATTATAGTATATAAATAATAACAATATCAGTACTTAGTAGAATTATTTTAGGGAAAAAGGCTAGAAAGTTTTTTAATAGTCAGAATATAAAAAATGTTGCGATATATTTTCCGGACAGGCTATTCACTAAAAAAGCTTTACTAAAGCTTGCGAAGTTACGTGAGTTTAATTTATTTCTTTGACGTTCAATTGCTTGTGTTTATGTCAGCCGTTGCTATGATACCAAATACAATGTTAATAGTTCGCTTCGTTATTTATAGAGATATTAATTTTCAATTCGTCATAAAAATTATCTTCGATATTTGAAACTTTAAAATAAAGAAAGTTTGGTCAAAATTATCAATAGCAATAATATATTTTTTGTTTGCTGGGAATTAACCACAAAGCTATACAATGGGCTATCTGTGCTCTGTCCATCACGGGTATCAAAATCCAGATTCTATGGTTGTAAGTCCGCAGATATGCCGCTGTGTCACGGAGGGGGGAGTAATAAGAAAGTTTTGTATTCATTGCGACGAAAATAAATGCAATTCTCATTCAGTTTAGTGGGTTTATTGGATTCCTTTAATAACTTTTTTTACACAAATAAGCAAACATATATTAAATGTATTGATATTTATGAGGTTTTTGAGTCCCTTTTAATTCACCATACGGTAACCTAAATGAATTTAGGTGTGTACACAATGTTATGACATTGCGCCTAAATCATTATTCAATATTATACAACGCACCAACTATTTAATGATTATAGATAAACCTTCAGATGCCCGTTGAAAGAAATCAACGGCAATTTTCTTAAAAATAGTAATAAATAAATCGAAAATGTGCAATCAACCCACCGCCTTGGATCAAAGAGTACATGCAATACAGTTGTCTAGTGAGACGTTTACAACTGTCCTTTGTCATTCAATATGTTTATTTCAATAAGGAATATTGCACTGCGTTTGTTTCTAAGCAAAGGAGACTGAAACTGTTGGCAAAACTGTTTGAATTTCAATACAATGGGTGCAACCAGCAAAATAGAGCACTCTGGTTCGCTAAGTAGCCGCTGGAATTTTTTCAACTGGATGCCATCGTTCCTTCTCTCTCTCTCTCTTTTTTTTTTTTTTTTCGTTCTTGCTCTTATCTTCAAAATATTTCTTTTAATCAGTCGAAGGAGAGAATCACTTATTTTGAAATTCCCTAACAAAAAGATTTTTTTCTTAATAGGTGTTTTCTAAGATTGGCCGTTCAGCACACACCAAGACTGGCTGATCGATGATGATATCGATATGAAATATTATGAATGGCAGAAATCAATAATTTTCCTGTAATGTACTCTTGAAAATAAGCATTTTGATATATTTTTTCTACGATTAACCGTTCAGGAGATACAGAGCGTGACAGACAGACATTTGGTTATTATATATACATGGATATGTCACACGTCTTTTATTTTTCTCCAAAAGATAAAAATGAAGAGATAATCTATAACGTAGAGGCCTAATTATAATGCATTCCTTGATTGGCCGTTCCCAGACTTTGGACTGCAGTTTCGCCTATGTAAGTCACATCAACACAGCTTGGATCAGCAAACCAAAGATATAGAGTTAGGCCTCTTGTAATTGTGATGTGTATATAATATTTATGAGGATTTCGAGTCCTTTGTAATTCAATATACAGGAACCATTTATTCTTTTTAATGAACATCTTCAGTATATTAGTTTACCCAGGGCCGGTGCGACGCAACAGGGCGGTACTCCTGAGGGGGTGGTATTTTTTTGTCAAAAAATAATTAAAAAAGAGCCAGTTCAGGAAAGTTCAGCCAGTGGCTGAACATGTTGTTCAGCCACTGGTGGTAGCCAGCCATTTTGAGGGTTTTGAACAGTGGTGCTAAATCTGGGGAAAATTCCCAAATTTTGAAATTTTCTCGATATTTTTAAAGAAAAGCATATAAGATTGGGGATTTTCTAGAAAATATAAATCATTAGTGATTAATTGTTTTCACGTTGATCACCTGTTTCGATCCTTACCGCACACTGACTCTGTAAATCTGCAGTTTTAAATTAATAAAACAATTAAGCAAATTATGTATATCGATGCAACCGTATTCATAAAATAGAATATTTTTACATTTTTCAAACGTTCCGCGACGTTGTAACATTTTCAAAGCGTTCCAAAATTTTTGTTTGTGCCCTATTATACAATACACGTGTCTATTATTTTCATGTAGTTGTAAAAACTAAAATAAACGATTTTTTATATTGAATAATTTATTTATTTATTATTTGTTAGTTCTACATTTGTAAATATTCATATAAATTATATTTTAGTAACGCACACAATTTAATGTACCTTTTTCTTAATTTACTCTGTTTTTTGGCGTTATTGGGAATGTTTTCCATCTCTCTGGGAATAGGTGGCCCCCCTACTTCGCATTACTGGTTTTGAAGAGTCTACTTAGCAGTTTATGTCAAGGTTCCAACGTCCTCCCAGCGGTTAATCCGTGTATTGAACCAGTGTTCCAGATTTAAATATAAATATATAAACACATATGTACAACACACAAATACACGTAGAAGCACACACAATACACGCACACGTCTTC